CCCCAAAACCCCAAAACCCCAAAACCCCAAAACCCCAAAACCCCATTAGAGCTAATGCTTTTTGAAATATTTAACTTACACTATGTCATTATAAGAACTCTTGTAATAAAGATACTATTAAAGTTTGATTAACAAGACAGTTTAAATTCATAACTTGAACACCACTTTTTAATGCAATAAATCACATAGTTGCGCTTGTGGTTCGAGAATTAAAGAAATCTGACTAAGCATGAGGCTAAGCCATGAGGATATATGGAGCATAGCTACTAATCTCATGAGTAAAAGTATTTTAGGAAACCTGTAGATAAAGGCAGATGTCTCTAGTAATTACATCTCCTATTTTAGTCAAAACAACATAATAATGTTTGGATTGAATTGATTTAGCAAAATTAATCAAACTCAGATGGCACAACGCTAAACAATTGCTCAGATTCTTCTGGAATCTTCTCAAGATTGGAGCTCTTCTTGCTGTATTTATTATCCTAAAAGTTTAGGTGATACCTACCTCTGTATGTTTATTAGATTTTTCCTCGTCCTGCTCTCTCTGAAAATGCTAGATATCTGGTAAAAATGAAACTTTAAAAGCACCCAAAAGTAATTTTATATGGCATTGAGGAAGCTAGGTAATGTCTGTAGTTGAAAATTGGCTTATTGAAGCTGATACAACCCCTTGATGCTCACATCTCTATTCTACAAATCTCTTAATACTTAAAAAGAATGAATAGTTTTGAATATATTTCCCTAAAATTCTTTAAAAGCTACTAATATCCTTTTTAATTTTGACTTAAACAGATAGAAAGGAGTTACTTCATTAATCTCTGGCTGGAACTTGAAATTGTTGCTACATATTAAAGCAAAATTGGAACCTTAAATCTCTGTTACTATCAGTGTTGATTCTCTTATAATTCTCCTGAGGGATTTCAAGCTGATTCTAAATTTTAGAATTCCTCGTACATTGCTCTTCAGATTATGTGCATGAAAAGTTCCAGTTTTTCCTAAGTTTGAAGCAGACGAGTTACTCATATCAGCATCTCTTAAATGATGATTAGTTGAAAACTTAGTTTCCTCTGGGTTATGGCTTCTTTTATCCGGAGCGAAAACACTAATATCAGTCTATAATATAAATTCCCAGGATTACATTGAGCCTTCTTGACTTTTCCCTCTGAAGACTTCCTAAAAAAATTAGCAAATAAATAAAAATGTTCTTACTTTGTTTGAGGCTATTGATTTTACTCAATACTCCCTGAATGATTAAAACTGTTATGAAGAGAAGTTACCTGCTCGGCTATAAGATTTAAATGATAGATTTACTCATTCTTCTTTGCTCTACACTAAAAATATTATTGCAATATTCTGCTGCTGCCTTGTGGTCATTGTTTGGAAATCTGTTCATGAAACTCAGTAGGTGTCTTTCATTGGCAGTCAGACTGTCATTCAACTAAAAAGAATTATCCTTGTCTATTCTTTTGAAACAAATTTTCAAAAGACCTACCTGATAATCTCCATTGAGTTGTTCGGAGCCTAATACTTCTGTTGGACTTTGTTCTGAATTCACTACATCACAAATAAGATATTGGTTATGAAATCTTGTTTATTTTTGATAGCTTACTTTTGCTGAAACTGATACTTTCCTCCCACCCCGCCTTCTTCTGGTCAACTTCCTGATCAAACTTAGTATCCTCTTCAAATTCCTCACTTTCCTTCACACTTTCTTCCTCTACTACCACCGCTTCTACATTCTCTTCCTTCTCTTCCTGCACTGATCTTCTACTAGGATGTCCAAAAGTCATTTTAGACTCAAACGGGGCTTTTCTTTGACTGTAGAGGGCGTCTTCTTTGTAAGCACTGGTTTTTGGGGGTCTGGAAGGACCAGTGGGTTTTGGGGTGAAAATGGAGTTGGCTAAGTGGGGGTTGGGGTGCTTGAGCTGGAAGGCTTGTTGGATTACCTTTGTCACTACTATCACACAATTACACTTAATCATCCAAATTCCACCACTTTAATCCCTCCCTCACTCCGACTACGCTTCAACCCCACATCCAAACACTATCCTCCTAATCCCTTTTAAAAGATATCAAAGCCATTAAGACCACCATTTATACCAGATCTATCGTTGTTTATGTAAAGTAAATATGAGAGAAATAACCCACAAAAAAATTAACAAACAAATATCCTACCAAACGAAGGCTCTAATTAAGGATACTGTATAGAAATGAAGCATTTATACCTAACCCAGTGGAATAGGTGAAAAAGAATGAAAGTAGAAGGCCAAAATGAGTAGATCACTACAGATCTGTGCTAATCTTAGCTAATTTAAGAGATGCACAAGGATAACAAAAAGTTTTATTCTCCTGCTTTAAAATATTTTACAAAAAGTAAGTATCCCTCGAACCCAGCCAAAAGCAATGAGAAGCTACCTTCTTAAGAAAGCAACTGGTTGATATACTTCTATTAAATTAATCCAAAATCTCTTAAGTCTAAATTTCTAATGGCTGGTGAAAGCTTTTAAAGATCTCAGCCAATCAGTTCCATCATTATCTCAAAGAAAATAAAATTTAGCATAAAATGAGATGTGTATCTTCTTTGACTAATGCATAGAATTTATAGACCAATCTACTTCTTTTGAGTGATGATTAATGGTAAAGAAACACACACTAAGGCCTTCTAAGCTTTAAGTTTAGCTCTAAATCTATCCGAGTACTACTTCTAGCTTAACTTCTTTGGTATCTAAGCTCATTAGGTATAAAGCCTTCTTAGAGTCCGTTCAGACTCTAAGATTTGTATTGGTCTTGGCCTTTAAGTTTGAGACAATGAGAACATCTCTCACTTCCTGAAGGTTAAATGTCATTCCAAAGACTTATTATGAGCCAGGATTACCTTTTCTTGCTGAACTTTCATCAAGCTTTGTTCTGTGCTCCATATTGAAGAAATTTATGGCTTCGAGAAACTTATTTCCCAATTTCTCCAAATCAGATGGTTGAGGTTCTCCAGAGTTAGGAGGGTTAGCCTCCATATTGGGGTTCTCTACTTCAGTTGATATATTGACTATTTCTTCCTAAATTGTCGAGTTAATAGATGGATTTGAACTATTTCAATCGCAAAGAGAATGCTTAATAGTTTCTAATCCTATCTAAAAATAAAAGATTTGGCTAGTCTCTTTCATGAAGCTTCATAATGACTTGAGCCAGTTGATATGTAAGCTCTAGCTTAGATCTCTGGGAGTGCAGCTTCTTGGCTTACAGTCGGATGGGTCTGCTTCTGGGGCTGCTTTGACTGATGTTGTTGCTTTGGTTGTTTTGGCTGCTTAGTTGTCTTCTCCTTAGATCTATCCTGAGTAGTGGTTTTAGGCCACTTCTTTTTCTTCTCAAAGGAATTAGTTCTGTGAAGAACGGAAGCATGCTTCCTAGGGTTTCTGAATGCGCTTTGAGAAGTTGCTTTCACTGTCTTGCCTCTTGTATTTTGAGAGTTGTAGTCAAAATAATGTTTCTTAGTCTTTCTTTTAGGAGAGTTGTTATTTCTCACTTTCTGGGTTGGAGATGTTGACCTTTTTGAGCGTTTTGGACCTATTTTTGAATGTTAAAAATTAAATCAAATTTAAAATTTGAAATCTATGAAGTTTTGTGAATGAATTGCTTACTTATGTGATGAGGCTTGGCAATAATAGTAAATTGAGTCCCATTATAAGAAAAATTCTTAGATTTCGCTCTTCCCTCTGCTTGTCTGATTCTCTTCGGAAGTCTGTGTCTATAATAAGGGTTCTCTCTATGTCAAAATAAACAAAAACTTGCTGAATGGAAGAAGAGGCAAGTATTTACTAAATTTTAATGAATAGTTTGAGATCAAGAATCTGTTTGTTTACGATCAGAAGTGAAACGTAATGTAGAAGAAGGGGAGAGGTTAGGAAGACTTGAAAAGATGTGAAGAATCCTGTGAGAGTCCGAGGGAATATTCAGGAATTTTAGGGCTTGAGAGAGTTGATTTAGAGCAGTTTTATGAGAATTTTTGGGCATAAAATTGGATTTTCAAAATTTTATTTTGTATTATTTGGTTATTGTAGGTAAATTCTCAAAGATTGGATTGCTAAGGATTCTTGGTGACAAAAGAAATTAGGATTGATGAATTTGTTGTTTTGAGCTAAATTCCTCTTAAATAAAATACTGATATTGTTAGCATGTAAAATTTAGTAATTGGAGTGCTTTGTTAGCTTCTCTGAGTATTGCAAATATTTTAACTATGCAAATTGTGAAGTTTTGAATAAATTTTATTGAAGGGATAACTTTACTCAAAGCAACAGCTCCTTGAGAGGACTGTTTAATTAATCCAGAGTTCTAAATAAACAAGTTTTTAATTTTTTAAAAAGATAATTTAACCAACACATATAGCATCATTTCTCAATAGCTGATCCTCAAATATCCTCTCCACCCCACTCCATCCACTCCCTTCACTCCCTCTTACTTCTGATTAATCACATTCAAATGCACTATCGGCTGAGTCTGATCCAAGCCTATACACAAATCAGCCTGCTCATCCCCCAATATCCCCACTCTCCTCCTAAAAATCTTCCAATATTCCCACCGCCACTTACTTTTATCAACATATTCATAATCGCGGAAGACTCTGGAGATGAAAGGAGGCAATTACTTAGGTTTTCTGAATCTGCCTGTGCTGAGGTTATACTTCCTCCCTAAAAATTCCCTTCTACGCTTACCATAAAATACCCTATCATCTCTTCTGGCTGGCTCAAGTACCTAAACCTCCTAATTTCCTTCTTACCACGACTTTTTCCATTCCAAAACTATTCTTCTTGTCTCTCTGTTTCTTCCTTACTGCTTGTGATCTATTTCCAAAGCTTATGTTAATACCCCCTTTTCTTGCTTCTTTGTTTGATGTGCTACCTGCGCTAGGATAGTGAGAGATTAGGGAGTACAGATAGTAGGGTTGAGGGTAAATGGAGGTTTTGAGGATAACTGGGTCCATTGCAGTTGGGAGATATTATTTTCTACGATTAAAATAAAAGTTGGGGTTTTGGGGTTTTGGGGTTTTGGGGTTTTGGGG